AATGTGTGACTTTCTTTTCTTAACATTATATTCATTGTTAGCATTAGTGGAGGTATCATTTAGAACAGTGGTTTTCAACCTTCCTAATGCTACAAACCTTTAATACAGTTCCTCATGTTGTGGTGATGACCAACCATAAAATTATTTCATTGCTACTTTCTAACTGCAATTTTGCTACCATTATGAATCATAATGTAAATATCTGGTATTTCTTATGGTCTTAGCTGACCCCTGTGAAAGGGTCATTTGGACACCAAATGGGTCACAACCCAGATCTAGAGAACCTCTGATTTACAAGGTATAGTAAACAGAATTGGCTGAAGATGAAAATTTGAAATTAGGAGTTGAAGACACAAAATTAAACACTACTCTATATGAACAAAGGAGAATCATACAATGTAAAAAGATTAAAGGAAATTCTCACAATGTTTTGTGGATCCCACTTAACAAACTGTCATCACTGGAATCCAGAGTGGTACTTAATTAGGGTCCAAGAAGATATTTTTTGTTCCAGCATGCTTTTTGTAACAGATATAGTCATCAATACTTTGGATTCATAGCAGAGCTATTTAAATTAAACTTTCAATGAAGCATAAAGGATCATTACAGGAATTAACTTAAGGAGATGCTCTTCATGTAGGGATGTTCATTTTCCTTTATCATCAATTACATAACTCATTACATATTGATGTCCTTGAAATAATTCATAGATCACTTTCTCTTGTGTAGACATGTCAACAATAAAAGTCATATCAAACTTTCCATAAAACTAATCATGTTGTTTAAGTAAAATAATGTCAAACTGATCCTAACACTGCCAATAAGGAAGCATGGATGAAATATAAATACTGAGGATGAACAACTCCTATTTCATTCCATGTTTTGAGAAGAGAGAAATGCTATAACTGTATCTTCATTTCTGATTCTTTTGACAACTGAATTAATCTGAATTCTGTAGCAGAGAGGAAAAAAAAACAGCAACAGGATGAAGATTCTTCTGCTGTTTGCTGTGGTATACTTGGTTTGTGCTGCCAATCAATCTCCATCTAAAATGAAACTTCAGACTGAAACAGACTCTTCAAAGGTACCATGTGAAAGCTGACCATGGAATGAAAAGTGTGTGTGATGTGTCACTGTGTGTTCATGCTTGTGTATATTTCTATGCTCCTGAATGCACACACATTATTCATTTTTCATCTTATACATGTATAAATGTGACTTGAAAAGCAAATGTGTTCAGATCACTCCCTGTGCCTGAAACAATTTGAGTTCTCTGTCTTTTCCAAATCACAGGTTTTTAGTGTAAGGATGTTAATGATACCACTGTGCTTCCACAGTAACTTGACTTTGATAGATTTAGTTTCACATCTCAAAATATCACCCTTTACACACGGATCTCAACAATTGCTTTATCTTATATAGCTGGGATCTGTAGGTAATTGAAAATTGATTACATACCAGCTATTTTTTCTATGTGAAAAACAGATGCAGTGAGTGCTACAGGTGTTGAGAAAAAAGAAAAGAAAACAGTAGGTTAGGGGAAATGGCTCTGTTAGTATAGGGTATGAACCTTATACTAACAGAACCCCAGCATTCTTGAAACATGCTAGGCACACTGACATGTATGTAAAGTCCCAGCACTGAAATGCCAGAGACAGAAGTATCCCTGGGGTTCACTGTCCACATAATATAGTGAAATGGTGAGTTCCAGAAGAGTTGGAGAATCTTCCTCAGGAAATTAAGGTGGACAGTGATTGAGCAAGCCACGTAACTTTGACCACTGGCTGCCACATACATGTTCATGAGTTTTATTCTACACACACACACACACACACACACACACACACACACACACACACACACTCAAAGTGTTTACTGACCTTCCTAACTGGCCTTTTCCTTCTTAGTTTTCAGGGAATTTTTGCTCAATTTACTTAGCATCTAGTGACACAGAGATGACAAAAGAAAACGGACTTCTGAGAATTTATACCCATAACATTAGATATAATCTTAATCGTAATAATTCTAGGGAATTATCGGTCACTTTTTATACAAGGTAAGTGATTTTTAAAATTTTAAGACGAAAAATGCAGAATTATTACCTGCAGAACACGTTATTGATGTATGGGGATCTCTGTTACTCTTAGGAGAATTTGAGGACGTTAGTTTACTTGGTCATGATTTCTAAGATCATGTTATAATCTCAACATCTATGTGAATGAACTTTAGGATCTCATAAAATTTTCTTAACTATCTGATGTACATGAAGTATGAAGATAGTAAGAATGGAACCTTGTCACTAAGATGACAATATATTTGGATTTCCAGCATAACCTGTTCCTTGACTTTCATATTTTGTAATTTTTTTAGAAACTAGATGTACACATGTCAAAACTGATCTTTAGTTCCCTATACAGTTAAAGATAAATCAGAATTTGTTGTCCTTCTAAATATATATCCACCTGTCAATTGATGATACTATAACCATATGTCATGTGGTCTAATTTATCTTGGATTTGTAATACATTTCATGTCAATTGAAAATAGCCTACAGAAACACAAATGATTCAATACATAGTGGCATATGTCAAAGCAGTGAGCATTTAAAAACCAGAGACAAAAATCTCCATAATTTTGTAGCATGTGATTTGCATAGTGAGTTACAGTCTAGCAAGGAACACATAGAAATAAATTGTCTCCAAAAACTCCACTTATAAACAAAAACAAAAAATGCCAAAATTCCATTTCATACAAGAAAAGATGCTGTCCTGACAATTGAATGACATATTTTAGTTAAGAAATAGTTTTAAGTAAGGTGTAGAGAATTTTGATAATAATTGTTCCATTTAAAATTTAGTTTGTGGTAGCATAGAATGAACTGAAAAAAAAAACTGAGTAATTATCATTACCAAGTTGGCCTGTGGGCATATTTATGAGGGATTACCTTAACTTTTGTTGGTGGTTGAGCAGGCCAGTGTGAGCTACAATTAACTCAGGAACGTGGTCTTGGGCTGTATGAGAATGCTGGCTAAGGATGGGCCTCCAAGAAAGCCACATAACATGTTATGAAGCATTATTTCCCTATGTTTTCTATGTTGCCTGCATTCAGTGGTGAACTTTGACCAGAAAGTATAAACAAAACAAATTATTTTCTCATTCATTTTCTTTTTCTCAGAATGTTTTATGATAGAAACATAATGGAACTAGAAAATACTGAAGACATTTTGTTGGCTATAAAACTAAAATGTGAACATTTAAGAAAAAAGCATACAACTGTTCTTTAAGGTTCAAAAAGTGAGTCACTACACCCTTGGTATAACAGTAATAACAAAAAATAAAAACAAAACAAACAACCAAAAATCAAACCAAATCAACCAAATGACAAAAACAAAACAAAACAGAAAAAACTTGCAGAACATATGTCATTGTGCAGTTTTTTTTAAAAAACCGAACATGGCTTTTCAAATTTCCAGTTGCAGATTTGTATTCTAGAAACCAGATGTGGTAAAAATTTGATAAAAGCTATGTGTGTACACCTCAGAGCCTAGCCCAGCAACTGAAGAGTTGAATAAGTTGGATCAGGATTTGATGGATCACCACAGCTTCAGAATAAATTGAGGACTAACCTGAGCTTTTTGAACCCTGGTCTCCAAAGAAATATAAAAGACGGAGAAAAGGAGGAAACGGAACATAAAAAGAACTGTTTATTATTTGGGGTATATTAGATACCATTATTAATTCCTTTAAGTCTTCACAGAGTGTGGTCATGTTCAAATGTATAAAAAGATGATTGCTGTAGAACATGATGCAAAAAAAAGGATGAACAAGAAAGATTTTATGGAAAACCATAATGCTATGGACAACATTTGAAAAATGAGCATACTAAAGATGAGGAATGCTTACATGCATTTTTAGAAGTAAATCCTGAGATTAAAAAAAAGAATCCCTGTGTTTCATTACTGAAATCTTTGAGTGTTTCAATGGGAGGAATTAATACATTAAGTTATATTTGTGTTTCAGATTAGGGGGTTTTGATCAAAGAAATGTTTACACCGAACATGTCTTTATGTTAAAAAACTGACAATATAGGCTAGATTTTTTTTAAAAAAATGAAAAATGCAGCCCCCAAATAATACTTTAATAAATAGGAATGTGATGTGCAAATTATAATAGTGGCAGCAAAATTTCAAGTTTTAGGTAGAAAGCATGCAAATTGGATTTTCTGTGTTTGCGGTTTCTATGCTATGTCCATTGCAGATTGTGATCATTATCCTCAGTTAAATATTGTTGATAAAAATTGAAGTGGGCCTTTGAGCAGTTTGATACTTTAGGGCACTATTATTGATAATTTCCTGAAGCCAAAATATTTATGAGTGAAACAGATAATTATTTTGGGATAGAATAAAGAAAATTGTAAGACTGTGCATATCTGAGATACAGAGTTGTATTTTTACCATGAGGTATTTTGAGGCCCTTCTAAACCTGAATGTAGATAGATCTCTGCCAGTGTATAAAGAAAATCTCTTTTGTCTTATTTATAAGGTGAGAACACTTGGCAATAATCAGCTCTAGGTCAGTGCTTTGGTCAGAATCTTTTTATGATATAGAGAAATGTTCTTTTTGCACGACAATGACCCACTTTAACCACAGATAATTTTAAAGCTGGCAATCATGTATGGAAAGCATCACATGGCCAAATGTAATTTTTGTATTTCCCTAAGATGAAAAATAATGTGTTTGTAATAAGTGGTGAATAACAGAAGACTCTTTACATTTAGGGAGGATGACAGTTGTGAAAACCACACTGTTGTAGCAGAATACATTGGACATCTGGTGTTTGACAAGCAAGGTGTGTATCCAGTCTTTCAGGATGACTGCAGACAACAAATCTTTTTGTGAATTCAGCTTCTTGGCAATTTCAATGACTTTTCTTGCAGCCATCACCAAATTCTTGAAAGAAGCAGGATAAAGAGGAGAAATTCATTTTGTCTCACCCACTCAGGGAACACCATTGGATCACAGAAGAAAGGAAATGGAGAATATACTGGCTCTAGTAATTTCTGGACCTTAACTACAAGATTCAGACCCATCCCACGTTTCTGGATTTACTCCCCAGATCTTGGAAAGAGAGGTTTGTAAAATCTCAAAACCAGCACCCATATTATTTAAGTTCTTCTTTTCAAAGTACTACACAAGATTATGTACAACACTACAAACATAAGATTATGAAAGACATCACATATTCAAGTAAAATTAAGTCATCCTAGTTCTTGAGGTTATAAAGCAACACTTATTTGCCTTATTTTTGATATTACAATTACATAATATCTTCCTTTTCTTTCCTCTGATCAAATACATCCACATGTTGCTCCTTGCTCTCTTTCAAAATCACAACCTCTTTTTTCATTAATTGTTATATGCATATGCATATATTTGACATGTCTCACACTTGAAATTAAACTATAAATACATAAGTTTTTGTGGTCTACTGAATTTTTATTGATCATTTGTGAATTTCTTATAATGCAACCTTGTAACCCTTACTTCCTATGACTCCCATGTCTGTCCCCCACACTTGCAACTTCTCCCCAAAATATTTTAAAAGTTCAATACGTGTTGTAATGTTTAATATTTTTCAAATATCAAACATTCAACCCAGAGGAGAAGTGGGAATAGAAAACTTTGAAAAACACCTACTATGTTTTAATCGTTATTCTTAAATATATGTCTTCTTACTTTTATGTTGCATATGAAGTTCTTGGATTAATTGAGACACTGAATGAAAGTCAAATGTATCTAAGAATTTTTTCTAATATCTATTAGCCACTTGCTGTTTCTGTGGGTTAACTTACTGAGGACTAATTTTGATAATCTAGGAGACTGAATGGTCATTGAACATGTTAATGAAACATTCAGCTGTTTAAGCTACAGGGAAGGTTTGACTGTTCCATAACATATCTGTAGATCCAGTTTCAAGTTTCACTGTGGCACTGAACTGACATAATATCTGGTAATATTTATAGAACATTGGAATGTTCAGATCTTTTTAGTTATTTGATATTTTCTCATATTTATACAGCATATTTTGATCAAATCTACCCCCTCAGTTCACCATTTTTTAACGCTTCCATGATCTACTGACCACTTCTTTCTCTTAACTTTACATACACCTTTTTATTCATTTAGCGCTATCAGTATGTGCTTGGATATAGAACCATCCACAAGAGCATGGGCAAAGTATTTGTGTAAACCACTGAAGAAGAGTGATTCTGTCTCTCCCAGTATCCATCAACCACCACCACCTTCTCAGTTTTGAGTGTACATCAATTGCCCATTCCCTATTCATGCTGGAATTTTGCCTGGCTTGATCTTGTAGATGCAGCTACTTCTGCTATGATTTCTTAAACATAATGTCCCTGACATGTCCAAATAATCTACTTCTAAACAACTATTTAAAACCTCAAGCTTTAACAATGTTTCCAAGATTGATTATGTAAAGATCCCTGAGGCTTTGTAGAAGGATGGATAATATAGATATCTCATTTGATAATGAAAAGTCTAGGCTTGGTTATTCATATAATTCACTCATATCAACTCTGATTCTGTTAATTAATCACCATGTACTGAAAAAATAGTTTTTTCTGACAAGAACTGAGAGTTTCACTTACCTCTGGGTGTGAAGTCAAATATTTGGATGGCAGTTTGGTCCCATGAACTTTTAACCTATGACCTATGTAGCCACTGGTTCTTACTACTTACAAATTAATTGGGACTGGGAATGTTTTCTATTTTTATATAAAGGCTATGGAATTGCTTTCCGCATTCAGTATTGTTCTATATGTGTGCAACTCACTGCCATGGGTATTCTTGCACATTGATTATTTTGATGTAAGAACTCACAATGCTATACTCAAAATGAGACTCAAATGGTTAGAATTCATACTGCTCTAAATTCCAAAACTCTTATTTCTTCTCAGTCTCAGGTATGCCTCAATTTTCATTGATTAAAGTATCAGACATCACCATCTTGTTTCAAGTTTTCTATATTAAACACAGTGGGAAAACAATGTGACAGCAGCATTGTGTAAGTATCATAGCTGATTGTATGTAGGAAAAATCATGTTTGAATTTTGAATGTGTATTTTACTGACAAAAAGAGCAGGTACCTAAAGAAGTGTTTGGAAGAAAGACGTATTTCCAAGTATCATTGTTAATGGATGTGCTTTATAGAATTTTCTTTACTTTTCCAATACTTATGTACCTACTCTGTTGGGTCTGTTCCAGTCTTTACAAATGTCACACTCAGTCTTTCTGTAGATAAGAATGGTCCATGTGGCCATAACCAAGTGTCACACACTGAATTTCTTGGTTTTTTTCAGTTAACACAACCAAACATGAAATGTGAGTTCATTGTCTAAAAGTTATTTGAATCATTGTGATGAGATTATTCCTAATTGTATACCCTTAATATCATCATATTCATTCACAGCATCAAAAATTTAAATATGTTCCACTAAAATTTAGCTATTGCTAAGATTCAGTCCTTCATCTATGAGGCCCTAAAGCATGTTAACAAATCTGACTCATGATTATCTCCACAAGGGAATCAATATAATTTTATTCATTTTTGTTGAATCCATGTTTTTTGAAGAGGATTGAAATTTGGTCTATTAAGGGAGAAGTACAGATTTTAAAAAACACTATTCCCCTTTCCTTCTTCCAACCATCCTAGGAACTCTCCTTGGTTTCTTTGAAATACATGGCCTTATTTACTTTGATTTAATTTAATTTAATTTCATTATAAAATACATAAATACAATCTGTTAAGTCTGTATAATTTCATTGTATGAATATATTTCCAGAGCTGACCATTTGATATTGAAACACCAAATAGTCAGTTCTTCCCTTGGGAAGACAGTTTCTCCCACTCTCATCCTTTGGTTCACTGCAGTTCTAGAGTTGAGGACTCTTGAGATTTCCTACATTTACTTTAGTATGTCTATCAGTGTCATCATTGTCCAGTTCACATATAGGCAGACATGTTGGTGAGACTTCTTGTGTGTACCTTCTGACATTTCTAAAAGTATAGGTTTGGGCTTTTAGTTTTGTTTCACATCAAAAGAAATGGCAGAACTGATGGACTAGGTAAATACTTCAGATGTTTTCCCCTATTAACCTTGAGGTAAAGAACACTAGGGCATGGATTCTATTGGTTAAAAAAAGCAAAATATGAAGCTATGGTATGGTAATACATGCAAAATTCAGATGAAAGCTCAACCAAGCACTTACTGTGTGTTATATAATTCCTACATTCTGAATGTGTACCTATGCTTAAAAAACTTATATAATATTTTATAATTGTGAGAACTGGAAAAAAACAAAATAATTGTGAAGTTTTGAACCCCATTCAATATTTAAACATAACTTGAGATGAACTTGCTGTGAACAATTACTATTCTGAAAGGAAGGCTGGTGGAGACTGTAGGAATATACAACAAAGTTTAATAACTGCATATTAAAAATTAAACAACAATTTGATAGACAAATATTCTAATTTTTTTCCATGACATATAGCAACATCATCAACTCTGGATAATGATTCAAAGGAAGAGTATTTCAAAGCAACTAATCTATACAATATCCCTTCTGAAAATATCAGAGATATGACACAAACAGGTAATGGTATTGCTCCATTTACTCTTCTAAATCAATTTTAAATTGAGGCAACAAAATGCTGTGATTCTACATCCCCATCTACAGTTCAGAATTAACAGTCTTTAAGAATACCTGCTTCTTTGATCTATTTTACAGACTCATGCCCATCCTGAATGAATATACCGAATAAGTGAGTACTACAGAATAATTTTAATTCTCAATTCATTACAGTAGACACATTACAAATAGAACCATTACAGTAGAAGAATATTCTAAGGAAATTGAATCATTTATTTTTTTTAGTTACTTTTCTGTTATGATGGATCACCATGACTAAGGAAACCAATAAAGGAAAACATTTAATTTAGGGTCTCCTGGTTCCAAAGGGTTAAAGTCAATGACCATCATGAGAGGGAGCATGATAAGAGGCATGTAGGTATGGTACTGGAATAGTAGTTGAGAATTTACATGCAGATCCACAAGCAGCAAGCAGAAAGATAACTGTCAATGATGTAGGTTTTTAAAACTCCAGAGACTGCCCCCAGGGATAAACCTCCTCCATGGAGTCCACTCTTCCCAATCCTTCCCAAACATTTTAACCAACTGGGAACCAAGTATTAAAATATAAGTATATGCATGAGGACCATTTAATTATAAACTACCACAAATGGCAAAAACAATTCCACTTAGGCCAATAAATGTAATGTATTAAAAAATAAATTAAATTGTTATAGGGTAAAGAGTGGTTAATTTTATTTGCCAAAAATATAGTTGGTGAAGCAATAACTATAATAAATGATTAACTCCTCTGGGATCTGCTGTAAATTATTTACTTGGAATTGATAAATACCTCACAATTTTCAATGAAATTCATTATTGTCGTGTATGATGTGGACCCATTTGTATGTTTGTTATTATGTGCTCCAGAAATTGGTATGTACATGGAAATTCTCAATTTAAAACTGGACTGCATAATCATACTAACTAGCATACTCACCAGAAAATATGTAATATAAAATATGCATCATCCTCCTAAGGTCTAATTTTATAAATTTATGCCTCAGAATTCATTTCTTGCCTTATTAATCATTTGTATGTATTAAGTTATTTTCTCCCAAATGTCAAATACTTAATACCATCTCATATATATTTTAACATTCATTTATAATTTTCCAGGTTATAAGAAGATTGAGACAATATTCAGCAACACTTGCCCTGTGGAATGAGAATCCTAGATATAAATTTAAATGTATTTTCTTTCAAAATTACACGTTTAGTTTTCTTAGAAAGTCATACATAGGTGATTACTTCCATGTCATTCTCATGTCATATTTAGTGATACTGTTTTCCTGAATGAATAAATCACTAAATTTCACATATTTACAAATGTATTCTGAATAAAGGTATCTAATATGCATTATAATGAGTGATATATTGTTTTCTGAAATTTAAGACAAATTTACAACCCCTACTACAACTTAGATGCATATTGTTCATTACCTTGTGTGTCATAGAAAAAAAAAACTTATTGGTGGATAAACTTAGTACCAACTTCAGGAAATTTCAAAGCCAATGAATATTTAGACATTACCAAAAATTGTACTCAATGTGTATTACCTCATTTACTTTAAATTTGAAGAGTGTCAGACTAGATAAAATAATTTTTAAAACTTAGCAATGAGAATGTTGAGGGAATGAAGAATAGTCTTACCTAGGGGAGAAGACATAAACTAGTTATTCAATACCAAATGGCCAGCATTGGAAACATACATATAATTAGCATTATACAGAGTGAACAGGTTATATTTAGGAATACACAAAAACATACACACAGAGAGATACATGATACACTCACATAGCAAGACATTTCCATCTGATGTATATTCCCATTTTGTAGGTTTGTTGTAGGTAAATGGAAAGATGGTTTAGGCAAATACAAAGATGGGAGAACTTTTGAACCTGTCAGTGTGTTGATTGATAAGATATGAGTTACATCTACTAGATGCTGAGGCATGAAACTCTGAAAATGAATAATACACCTCCTCCAATAAGGCCACACATACTCCAATAGGACCATACCTAATAATCCTTCCCAAAAGATTCCACTAGCTGGGGACCAAGCTTTCAAAAATATGGGCCAATAGAGGTTCATTCTCATTCAAACCACTGCATTCCACTCCCTGATCCCTACAGGCTTGTAGCCACATCATAATGTAAAATTCACTCAGTTCATCTTCAAAAATCCCCAGAGTCTCCCAGTCTCAAGACTATATAAAAATTCAAATTCCAAAGTTTCTTCTGAGACTCAAGGCAGTCTTTTAACTATAACCCTCCCATAGAATCAAAAAAGTAAAGTACATTCTTCTAATACACAGTGGCACAAAATATGTATTGTCATTCCAAAAAAAGGTAAGGGGCATAGTGCGGAAATACTAGACCAAAGCAAGACTGAAAACCAGCAGGGAAAACTCCATCTCCTGCAACTCCATGTATGTTGTAAAAGATTTACTAGATGGCTTTCCCCTTGCAGCTTTGGTAACTGCAACACAATTCTCTATCTTGGCATGGTTCTTGTAACATGTTAGCAGCTTTCCTTGGAAATTATCTCAGGATCTCCAACATAATCAAAGTTTTACCTTCACATTTTCGTGCAATGGCTTCTCTGGGTCTCCAGAGACTCTCCTGTCCCATACCTTGCCTCAGCAGCTTTCCTTAATAGTAGCTTCCACAACTCCTTTTCCTTATGCTTCTATACTTCTGTCTTTACATTTCCTTTGTCAATTATATTAGTTTAAATTTCTTCAGTTTATCCTCCAGCAGTTTTTTTGGACAAGAGCAGAAAGCAGCCACATTTTTGTTTAAAACATTACAAGAATTGTCTCTAAGCCATTTATACACATTCTTCCCTTCTGAAATGTCCTAAGCTTCTTACATTCTCCCCCTATGAAATGTGTCGAACTTCACTTGTATAGTCCACATTGACCTTAGCTCACTGTCTTCCAAGATCCTACTAGCGTCGTCCATTAAGTCAAATTTATCACATTCAACTGCTTTTCTAATCCAAAGTTCACATTCTACCAACAAGCAGCATTGTCAGCTCTGTCTCAGAAATTCCCCAGTTCCTGGCACCTACTTCTGTATTAGTTACTGTCCTATTGCTGTGAGGATACACCATGACCAAGGCAAGTCATAAGGGAAAAATTACTTTTATGCTTTCTTACAGTTTCAAAGGGTTAGTCTATATTGAGAACCAGACAGACATGACACTGGAGGATTAGCTGAAAGCTTTATATTCTCATCAGCAAGCAGTGTGCAGAGGGGTTGCAAAGAGAGAGAATAAGAGCCTTGCATGGACTTTTGGAACCTCAAAGCCTACCCCCAGTGGACCACTTCCAACAAGGCCACACCTCCTAATTCTTCCCAAAAAGTTCTACTAAATGGAGATCAAGCATTCAACTTATGAGCCTCTTGGTGCCATTATTCAAACCACCACAGCTTACATGCCTCATTCAAGATCTACTATCCAGGGAAGTCAGTAGATGAGCTCTATACAGCTACATGGAGGTAGAAAGTGAAGCAGAAGCCATGGATGAATGTTACCTTTTTTAACCAGCTTTCTCTCCATGGCTCCTTTTTCTTGCTTTTTCATACTACCTGTGACAACCTGCCTAGGAGTGGCACTGCCCACAGATTCTGGTCACTCTTCTGCCAATCATTAATTAAGAAAACAACTCACAGATATGCCCAGAGACCAATCTGATGTACATATGTCCTCAATTGAGTTTCCCACCTCTTATGTGACTGGAGTTAGCATCAAATTGGCAAGAAAAAATTAAGAATAAGAAAAGGAAGAAAAAGAAAAAGAAGAATAAGAAGAAGGAAAAAGAAGAGAAGGAAGAGGAGGAAGAATAAGAGAAGAAGGAAGAGGAAGAGAAAGAAGAGGGAGAAAACAAAACAAGCCAGCACATTTACTAAAAGAAAATGAGACTGTACTTCTCAGAGAACAAGAACAGATATAATTCAGATGTTCACAAAAGAGACATAGGAATTCTGGAAAATTATCAGTGGTAAGACTTGACATGATTAGTAGTTTATCAAGCTAAACATAACTCTTGGTGTGCAGCTTCTCAGTAGAGTTAGCAGAAGAATGAAATTCCTTCCAAATTAATCCAGAACATTGTAATGAAACAGGTTGACCCTCCTTTTTTCAACAAAAGCCAGATGACTACTGGCTTTTGTTGAGAAAAGGAGGGTCTAACCATACCTCTGTAAAAATAACAGGTATGGTTTATGATGAGACTATGATTCACCTGTGGATGATTCAGCAACACAGCAGCATTGACTCCAGTTTATGGGGCTAGTGTTTTGCCATCCCCACTTTAAATAGATCACCTTCAAATCTGTTACCTATGAGTGCACATCAGTTCTCTCTTCCACTGAAATTTAGGGAATACTGGGCAAAATCAAGACTCACAAAGCAGTAGAGATACCAAGAGATAACTACAGGTATTCCAAAAATCTTAACAAACTAATTCCTAAAAGGTAAATTTCAAAGGCACAGAAAAAAGACAAGACTAAACAGACACTACAAAATCTGCAAAAAGATTGAGAAATGGAGAATGAACTATAGAAGAAGGGAATGTGGTGTGGTGGATACAAATGCACTATATTTATGTATGAAATTTATACAAGTATTTAATTTTTTCAGCTTTTTCTTCATTTTTGTTAATTTTTTATTAAGAAATTTTTTTTCATTCATTTTACTCACCAATCAAAGATCCCCCTCTTCCCTCCTCCCGCCCCCCACATTCTCCCCTCCCAACCCATCCTCTAGCTCCCTTCCATAAGAAGGCAAGGCCTCCCATGTGGAGGCACATTCAGTAGAGGCAAGTCCAAGCCCTTCCCCCTGCCTCAAGGCTGCATGAGGTATCTCATCATAGGTAGTGTGGGCTCTACAAAGCCCACTCATGCACCAGAGATGGATTCTGATCCTACCGCCAGGGGGCCTCCCAAGCAGATTAAGCTACACCACTCTCTCACCATGCTAAGGGCCTGGTCCAGTCCCATGTAGGCTCCACAGCTATTGATCTAACATTCATGAGTTTCCTCTAGTTTGGTTTGGTCATCCCTGCATGTTTCCCCACCGTGTTCCTGATTGATGTACTTGCTCATAGAATCCCCCCCCCCTCTTTGACTGGATTCCTGGAGCTCTGTCTAGTGATTAGCTGTGGATCTCTACATCTTCTTGCATCAGTCATTGGAGAAAAGTTCTGTGATGTAAGTTAGGGTATTCACCGGTCTGATCTCTAGGGCAAGCCAGTTCAGTTCAGGCACCCTCTCCACTATTGCTAGTAGCCCAGGCTGGGATCATCCTTGGGGATTCCTGGCAACTTCCCTAGGACCGGGTTTTTCTCTATCTCCATGATGTCTCTCTCTATCATGGTATCTCTTTCATTGCATTCCCCTCTCTCCCTGTTTCAGTTCAACCATCCCATTCTCTTATGCTCTCATCCCCTATCCCCTACTCTCCATTGGCTACCCCTCATCCCCAGTTTACTCATGGAGATCTCATCTATTTCCCCTCCCCAGGGCAGTCCATGTGTCCCTCTTTGTGTCTTCCCTGTTAGTTAGCTTCTCTGGAGTTGTGGGTTGTTGCTGATTACCCCTTGCTTTATATCTAGCATCCACTTATAAGTGGGTACATACCGTGTTTGTCCTTCTGAGTCTGGGTTACCTCACCCAGGATGATATTTTCTAGTTCCATCCATTAGCCTGCGAATTTTATGATGTCATTGTTTTTCTCTGAAGAGTAGTACTCTATTGTGTATATGTACCACATTTTCTTAATCCATTCTTCAGTTGAGGGGCATCTAGGTTGTTTCCAGGTTCTAGCTATTATGAATAATGCTGCTATGAACATAGTTGAGCATGTGTCCTTGTGGTATTATTGAGTATTCCTTGGGAATATGCCCAAGAGTGGTATAGCTGGGTGTTGAGGTAGATTGATTCCCAATTTTCTGAGAGACCACCATACTGATTTTTGCACTGCCACCAACAGTGGAGGAGTGTTCCCCGTGTTCCACAACCTCTCCAACATAAGCTGTCTGTGGTACTTTTGATCTTAGCCATTCTGACATGTGTAAGATGATATTTCAAAGTCATTTTGATTTGCATCTCCCTGATAATTAAGGATGCTGAGCAATTCTTTAAATGTCTTTCAGCCATTTGAAATTATTCCTTTGATAATTATCTGTTTTTTAATTGGATTGTTTGCTATTTTGATGTCTA